ATTCAATAAATAAATATAAAAACAACAACAAAAAGAACTGTATTTCACGCATGTATACAATCTGAGGATATAAAATAATAAACAAAATGATAAAAAGAGAAAAGAACAGCAAGACTGGGCAGGGGAATGGCTCAAAACACTGCAGCACGTGCTTTGCACGCTGGAGCCCCTGGTTCTCGTCCCAGCTCTGGCTTGACCCCCCACAAGCCGAGCTGGGAGGAAGCACCCCTGAGCATACTTCTCTTGTCATACTGTGAAGCCAGAATTCACCTGACATCAGTGTAAAGACATTATAAGAAACTTATAATGTCAAAGCTCCTCAATGGAATACTAGCAAACTGGATTAAGAAATACATCAAGTGGATTCTATGCCATATACTCGGCCCTCCCCTTGATCATCGATTTGCTCGAGCGGGCCCAGTAACGTCTCCATTGGAGACTTTGTTGTTACTGCGTTTGGCATATCGAATACTCTCGGTAGCTTGCTGGGCTCTCCGAGAGGGGCAGAGGAATCGAACTCGGGTTGGCCATGTTGGCCGCTTGTAAGGCGAACGCCCTACCACTGTGCTATCGCTCCAGCCCGTATACTCATTCCTGCTATATGATATATATCATATACATATAATATATATACTGAGTATATTCCATATGCTCAGTAACAATGATGGCCTCATTCCCCTGACCCTGAAAGAGCCCCCAAAATGCCATCGGGCTACACTAGCACATAACAGGAACAAATGGAGATGTTACTAGTGCCCGCTCGAGCAAATCAATGAACAACGGGGTGATAGTGATAGTGATACTCATTCCTGCAATGCAAGGATGGTTCAACTTTTACAAATAATCATTGTAGGCTGGGGAAATAGTACCGGGGTTAAGGTGCTTGCCGACCACATGGCCAATCCCAACTTGACCCCTGACACAGCATATGGGCTCCTGAGCACCTCTAGGAGTGACCCCTGAGCGCAGAGCCAGAAGTAAGCACTGAGCACCGTAGGGAGTGGTCCAACTATCTCCTCTCACAAATCAATGTAATGTACTACATTAACAGAATAAAGGACAAAAACCACACAATCATCTCAACTGGCATAGGAACAGGATTTGGAAAGATTCGATACCCTTCCATGATTCAAAACAAAACAAAACCCCTAAAACACTTAAGTTAGATTGAAGGAAATTATATGAACATAATTAAGACCACGTTTGGAAAGATCCAGAGCAGCCATTTATACTTGTTAGTAAAAAAAAAAGAGACTACTTTTTGCTCTCACATTAGTAACACAATGCTCTCACACTTGTATGCAAGTCACAGAAATAAAAGGCATCTAAACTGGAGGGGAAACTTTGTTAGCAACAACAGAACTAAAGTGTTAAAACACACACACACAAACACGCACATTAAAGGTTAAAAGTGGTGTTGGGGGTGTGGCTCAGTGGTATAGAACCTGCCCTGCACATGTGAGACTGTAAGTTTGGTCCTGGTACTGTCCCATAGCACTGAGCACTATCACCCATACTGCCTTAGTGACCCTTGGATAACATCACGTAAATGGCCTCTGCCACTGAATCCAGATAGCTTTTTATTTTTTTATTGTTTTTTTTTAATTTTTATTAGTGAAAGACCATGAGGTACAGTTGTAGACTTACAAATTTTTGTGCTTGGGTTTCAGTTATACAATGATCCAGTACCCATCCCTCCACCAGTGCCCATTCTCCATCATTTATATTTTCTTTTTTAATTTTTGTTAGTGAAACACCGTGAAGTATAGTTGTAGATTTACAAATTTTTTTGCTTGGATTTCAGTTATACAATGGTCAAGTACCCATCCCTCCACCAGTGCCCATTTTCCGCCACCACGGGTCGCAGTGTCCCTCCCACCCCCCATCTCCCCATCCCACCCTGCCTCTGTGGCAGGGCATTCCCTTTTGTTCTCTCTCTCCTTTTGGGTGTTGTGGTTTGCAAAAGAGGCATCGAGTGGCAATCATGTTTGGTCTATAGTCTACTTTCAGCATGCTTCTCCCATCCTGGGAGGATCCTCTCAACACTCTTTATTTGGTGCTCCTTTCTCAGATAGCTTTTTAAATTAAGGTAATAGTGGTTGATTGTTTTGGGACCACACCCAGCAGTGCTCAGGGATTACTCCTGGTTCTTGCTCACTCCTGGTGGTACTTGGGGGATGACAGAGCGTGCTGGGGATTGGACCCAGGTCAGCTATGTGCAAGGGAAGCGCCCTACCCACTGTACTATCTTTTTGGCCTGGTAACAATGGTTTAGACCATATAAATATTTATAAGTTTTGAAGTCCAGTGTTCTCACATTGCGTCCACCACCAGTGTCAATACCCTTCTACCACTGTTCCTAGGACCATCCAGGTGACACCACAGTTCTCCGGGTGACCACAGTCCTGGCACCACTAAGGGCTTGTTTTCATTGAATATTGTCTATTTCCTTGCTCTGTTTCTTTATATTCTACAAATATCACCTGCATGGGTCTTTGGTTTGGCCACACCTGGCAGTGCCCAAGGGCGATTCCTTGCTCTATGCTCAGGTCTGACCCCCAGTGGTGATTAGGATATGGTGCCTGGTTACAACCAGGGTTGACTCTATGCCCCACCGATGGGGGGGCATCTGCTGTGCCACTCAGCCACATCCCTGGTCCTGAACGTATTTCTGATATTCATTCATGTCATAGCATGGATCACTACCATATTCCTTTTTTTAAAAGAGTGAATAATAATTCGCTGTATACATAAACCATGCTTTTTTGTTTTGTTTTGTTTTTTGGGTCTTTCTTTCTTTCTTTCTTTCTTTCTTTCTTTCTTTCTTTCTTTCTTTCTGTGGGTGGGGAGGGGGTGACACACCCAGAGGTGCTAGTTGGCAATTCCAAGTGTGGTGCTTGGGAGTCACTCCCGGATGTGCTTGGGGGACATCAGTGATGGGGATTAAACCTGGGGCTCCCATGCCAAGAGCATGTACTCCAGCCCTTGAGCTATCTTCCACAAATCACATTTTCTTTATCCATTCCTCCATGATCTGACATGCGAGGACACGGAAGTTCATGATTTTCAATGAGAAATATTCCTGCAGGACAAAATCCAGGATCTGAATAGGAGAATGGACATTTAGGAAGATACGGAGAGAGGGCCAGAGGGCAGGAGACCAAAGACCTGGAAGGTAGGTTTCTTAGGCTCACTTGATGGAAACTGAACCTTCCAGGTCACATATCACTCATTTGTAAATTGAGAAAAATATTTGAGAGAGCCGATAAGCTATTCCCATAACTTTAGCTATTATGATTAAAGTGGTGAATGTGTATGTAAAAGTTTTTGCTTTGAAGCCCTGAAGTGACTCCTTCTTTGTTTTGCTTTATTTGGGGGCCACACCTGGCTGTGCTCAAGGATTCAGGATTTGTGCTCAGGGATCACTCCTGGTGGTGCTCAGGGGACCATAAGGGGTTCTGGGGATCGAACCTGAGTTGGCTAGGGTAAGGCAAGCAACCTACCCACTGTGCCATTGCTCCGGCCCCATGAAATGGCTCTTTCTCTCTCTTAAGTGAGGAAAAGAAAAGAAAATATGTTAAATGGGGCCAGAGAGAGATAGTACAGGACTTAAGGCACTTGCTTTGCATGCAGCCAACTGGGGCCTAAAAACTGTCAAGAACACCCCCTCAAGCACTGTAGCCCAAGACCTCCCATGACTCCCTCAAAAAAATAGGAAAGAAAAAGAAGTTAAGGAAGTGTAAGGAAAACAAACTTTTGATATTAAATAATAATATTTAATATATTGATTCATGATATTCGAACACAATTTCAGAAACACCTGGACTGGAGAGCTAGTTCATGGTTTAAGGCACTTGCATTGCATGTGGCTATCCCTACTTCAATCCCCGGTACCCCAAATAGTGCCCCAAACATCACCAGGAGCATTCCCTTAGTAGAGAACCAGGAGTAAGCTCTGAGCTTCACTGGATGTGGCCCCCAAATTTTTTTAAAAAATGAACACTTTTGCTATCTTACTTTATCTCATGCATAGCTATTATCTTGAAGTCAATTATAACTTCATTCTATAGATTAGGAATATAGATCCTTCTAATGCCTTTGGCCTCTCCGCACGGAGACAGCTCAGATGTCTGGAACCCCAGTATTAAGAATGCCTTCTCTTCTTTTTGCAAAGCTCTGGCCCTCATTTGAGCCCTGTGATTTCTCCTGTGACCACTGAGCCTCCCTCCCATCTGCTTTTCTGACCTGCAGGCTTCCATTCTTCAAGGGCATTTGTCATGTCTGCTGTCAGAATGAGCTTTCAAAAATGCATGTCTAGGGGCTGGAGAGAGTGCAAGGGTCAGACTCTGGCCTTGCGTGGACTGAACAGGGTTTGGTCCCAAATACTGCATATGATCCCCCGAGCACTGCCAGGTATGGCTCCAAACAACAAAACAAAACAAAGAAATTAAATAAAAATCTGCAAGCCTGGGGCCAGAGAGATAGTGCAATGATTTAGTCCTTGCCTTGTATGCAGTTGATTTTGTTTTGATCCTTGATCCCCTGAGCATCACTAGAAATGATGATCCTTGAGCCTAGAGCCTGAGCACTGTCGGGTATGACCCCAAAGCCCACCCCATTTAGGCTCAGATGGCCAAAGAATTTATCTGAGGTCAGCCAGTGAGGACCAGTCGTCATCAGACCCCAGGTTTTCCTACCCCACCACGTCGTTCGGACAGCCTTGCTCATCTGACAGGGGAGTTGAGGGGAAGGATGAGGTACCTCATCTCACCCAGTGCTGACCTCGGGAAGGTCACCAGGCAGAAGCTCATGCCGGAAGACACTGGCAGTTTCCAAAAGCCCAGAGGAAAGGAGCGTGTGTTGATGATCAGGCTTTGGGGGGTCTGGAGACCGTCCAGCGGGCCGCGGCTGTCTGAATGAGCCCTGTCTCCCCAGTGGGCCCCGGTGATGACCCTCCCCCGAGGCGGTGGGGCCCGCGTGAGCACGGGAAGTCTTCGTACCTGGCACTGGCGGTTCTGGGTGAGGGTCTCTCATTCTCTCCTCCAAGAGCTCCCGCAGGCACTGCTCCTGCTCCTCCTGCAGCACCCGCAGCACTTCACACAGCCGGGACACGGCTCCCACCTGCAAGGCCAAGGCCAGATTGTTCATTGCTAATAATGACTCCACAGGGATGTTCCATGAGCAGGAGGGACGGCGCAGGGACCATTGCACATGGGGATGGTCGGCAAAGCCAGGCCCGCGTCCAGAGTGGGGGAGGCAGCCCTTCTCCGGGGTGAACAGAGAACACGACAGGGAGAGCTAGGCGGCCCCAACAGTCTGACGCCTGTCCACGTTGAATCTCGTGTTAATCAAGACCTTAAGTCTTTTTAAATTTTTAATAGGTTTGGTGAAGTCCAGAGTGATACAGAGGGTAGGGGGCTCTCCATGCACACAGCCAACCCAGGCTGGATTCCCGGCTAACTGATCCTGCTTCTGACTGAGACTGCATCCCATAGGCTGGAGAAGCTTGCAATGGAAAGATCTGGAACAGTTTATGGTAGGGAGGTTAAAAGGAGCACTAGGGACTCTTGGAAGATGGGGCAGGTGAGCTTTTTTCTATTACTCCTGCTAATGATTCATGCACCTGAGTATACAGGCATCACAGTCTGGTGTGTGACCTCTGCAGTACCACAACGAAAAGTCTGAGCAGCCCAGCCAAGCGTGATCATCACAACAATGAAGGGAAGGGAAGGGGAAAGGAAAACCAAGAACTATGAGTCTTAAAAAGCTACTTTGAGCCCAGGGATGTATGCAGCTCAGTGGTAGAACATGTGCCTTATATAAGTTAGATTTTTAGCACTGGGGGAAAGGGGGCAAAGCTGGGCTTAACTGGTTTTTAAAAATTGAATTTGAGGTTAGAAAGATAGCTCAGAGTGCTGCAACATATTTTTTTATGTGAAGGAGGCCTAGATTGACCCCTATCATCTCCCGGTACCTTCCCCAAGTACCTCTGAGAACAACCTTCAAGCACCAAGTTTGGAAGTGGCCCCTGAGCACTTCCAGGGCACCCCAAACAAATGAAATGTTTTTATGCACATTCTTTCTTTTATTTTTACTACCAAAGAAATTATAATGAAAAAGAGCTGCCCCATTTCCATAACCTCTACCTGTTCTCCATATATGCCACTTTCCACTCTCTTGGGTGTTCATTTTCCTCTCTATTCAAAAGTCATCCTCCTCTACTCCTGGATTTCTTCATTTGAGACATTATCCAAAACCCTATTGCAGAAAATAAATATTTAGTTGTCTTGAAATCCCCTTACCTCGACATCTCTCTCTGCAACATTACACAGTTCTCTTGATTTAATTTTTAGTTAAATGGTCCTATTTATAATGACTTCCTCTGACTATGAAATATTGTTCTAGTTGCGTAAAATGATTACGTCTCTTCTTGGACATGTTGTTTTTCCTGAGATCAATAATTACTTTGTTTTCTTCATTTGATTAGTTTTCTTTGTGCATATGGCTGCATTTTTTCCCAAGCGTTCCAACAGCTCTGTTCGGCATCTATCAACAGCCCTATTTGTGTGACCTCAGGAGCCGTCCTTACCACAGCTGTAACCTTGGCTCCGTCTGGGTTGTGCTGGCTCTGGCTCGGCTGGTTAGAGGGTCTGTTCCCTCGTCTTGCTTCTTTGTTTGGAGACGCCCATGCTCTAGTAACTTGCTGAGCATGCTTACATGAGATTAAACTGCAAATCTATGCTTTCATGAGTCTAACTAGTAACTGGGGTGGAAATTTCTAGGCTAAGGATACTTTTCTTCTGGGCTGGAGCGATAGCACAGTGGGTAGGGCGTTTGCCTTACACGCGGCCAACATGGCCGACCCGAGTTCGATTCCTCCGCCCCTCCCGGAGAGCCCGGCAAGCTACCGAGAGTATTCGATATGCCAGACACAGTAACAACAAAGTCTCCAATGGAGACGTTACTGGGCCCGCTCGAGCAAATCGACGATCAACGGGAGGGCCTTTACTTTACTTTACTTAAGGATACTTTTCTTCTATACTGTGAAGGCATTTCTCTTTTGGGGGGGAAGGAGGAGTCACATCTGGCGGTGCTCAGGGCTTACACCTGGCTCTGTGCTCAGGTGCACTCAGGGTGGGCCATATAGGGTGCCAGGGATTAAACATGTAGGTTGACTATATGCAATGCAAGAGCCTCACCCAGTATACAATCTCTCTGGCCCTATCTGGTGGGTTTTCTAAGAAATGTTTTGTCACCAGATAATTTCCAAAAAGGCTTTCTAATTCCCCAATGCTTCCGTTTCCACCACTTTCTCTTTTTCACACTTCTTGGTTCCAGCATCTTTCCCTTTGACTGTTGCCCACGTCCCTTCCCTGTCCTTTGATGCTGCTGTTGCAATGACTGAAGGTTGTATGTTTAGTTATGTTAACTGTGGTGCTCCCACTCTAAGCTGTGGTGCTAGATCTAGGACTGGCACACTTTAGTTGCAGTGCTCACACAGCCTTGGTTGCCGTGTGCTACCGACCACACACTTTGTTGAGATGCCAGGTATCAGAAATAATATTACCGCCAGAATCATACTGGGCATATGTGGGGTGCTGCTAGGGATCAAACTCAGGCTTCCTGCTTAAAAGGCAGGCTGCTGGGGCTGGAGCGATAGCACAGCGGGTAGGGCGTTTGCCTTGCATGCAGCCAACCCAGGTTCGAATCCCAGCATCCCATATGATCTCCTGAGCACCGCCAGGAGTGATTGCTGAGTGCAGAGCCAGGAGTGACCCCTGAGCATCGCCAGGTATGACTCAAAAAGCAAAAAAATAAATAAATAAAAATAAAGGAAGGTTGGCACTCTACTACTAACCACATCCTGGGGTGACAACCCTAACACCTTCATAAGGTTGCATTTTAAGACATTAACTATTATTATGGGCTACAGCAATAACACAGCAGATAGGGCGTTTGCCTTGTACGCAGCCGACCAGGTTCGATTCTCCCACCCTTCTTGGACAGCCTGGCAAGCTATCGAGAGTATCTCGCCCGCATGGCAAAGCCTGGTAAGCTCCCCATGGCATATTCGATATGCCAAAAACAGTAACAACAAGTCTCACAATTTGTTGTGAGACATTACTCATTTCCGCTCGAGCAAATCAATGAACAATGGGAGGACAGTGGACAGTGTAGTGCTAACGACTGTCATGTAATGTAAGGTTTTCTCATTTTTTTGTCCCTGTTTTATCAAAGTTTGTATCCAGACTGAAGGCCTCTTCAATGTTATATTTAAGCCTGAGGCACTAACATGTCTTGGAATCCACTGTGCTCCTGAACAGTTGGCTGACAGGCACACTTCACTGTAACATAACCAAACCCAGTGGGGCCCCTCTTTTTAGAGGAATTCTCTAAATAGAGGGGCCTTCTATTTGGGGGCCTCTCCTCCACGTTTGATGTCTTTCTAGGGTGCATACAGCCTCCTGGATGGTCTTTCTTCATGTCCCCTGTAACCAAGATGCCCACTGCAGGCATTGAAGCTGCTATTTCCCCCACACCAATGCTGGTTTTCCTCTCCCCAAATAGTTCCTGACATCTCCGCTTTCTCGTTGCCTCGTGTCTTTGTTCTCCTCGATTCTGCACATTGACAGCCTTCCTGTTCCTTTGCTGTTGTTTCAATGGAGTGTCCCAGGGCAGGACAAATAAACACGTGTAGTTAATCTGCCATGTTAAAACCGGATGCCCTAATGTGATATTGTGATATAATGAGGAATATGTATATCTGGCCTTTGTTCCTGGTTCTTGGCACAGAGATTCCAAAGCCCTTGCAATTTCCTGAGAGCGGCGAGAGGGAGCGTCCTTTGTGATCATATTTAATCTTAAGTCTCCGGTTCCTGATACAAAAGCTCCTAAAGAGCCTTAGAACCTCCGGGATGATGAGCGACTCTTTGTATAATGAGATGACCGGTAGCTGAGGGTCCCACATAAATTTAGGAGGAAGGCCAGGCATCAGAAAGGCCACATGCGGTCAGAGAGTGGAAACTTTTGGCTTCACCCCAGTTCCCAATGGAGAGAGGAGAGGGACTCGAGTCTGAGCTGGTCCCCAAGAGCTGATGATGGTCTCACTGGGCAGCCCAGGCAGGGAAACCCCCTTAAACACCTGTATAGGGGTTCAGAAAGCTTCCAGGCTGGTGAGTCCCTCGAAGCTCTGAGAGGGGGTCGGGAGGCTGGGGACTCTGCACACCCCCCTTCCTTGCCTTCTGCATCACTAGCATTTGACTGCCCAGCACCTTATCTTTTATGACCAACCAGAGAAACAAGTAAAGAGTTGAAAAGAAGTAAAGAAGCTGCGAAGAATATTCACCCAATACCCATCCGATAACGGGTTGATATCAAGAATATACAAGGCACTGGTTGAACTCTACGAGAAGAAAACATCCAACCCCATCAGAAAATGGGGTGATGAAATTAACAGAAACTTTCTCAAAGAAGAAATCCGAATGGTTAAAAGGCACATGAGAAAATGCTCCATATCACTAATCATCAGGGAAATACAGATCAAAACAACAATGAGATATCATCTCACACCACAGAGACTGACACAAACCCAAAAGAACAAAAGCAACCGGTGTTAGCATGGATGTGGGGAGAAAGGGACTCTCCTTCACTGTTGGTGAGAATGCTGACTGGTTCAGCCCTTTTGAAAAACAGTATCTAATATTCTCAAAAAATTAGAAATTGAGCTCCTATTTGACCCAGCAATACCACTCCTGGGAATATATTTTGGAGAGGCAAAAAAAAAGTATAGTAGAAATGACATCTGCACTTGTATGTTCATTGCTGCACTGTTTACAATGCCAAAATCTGGAAAAAAAAAAAAACCATGTGCCCAAGAACAGATGACTGGTTAAAGAAACTTTGATACATCTACACAATGGAATACTATGCAGATGTTAGAAAAGATTAAGTCATAAAATTTGCATATAAGTGGATTAACATGGAAAGTATCATGTTAAGTGAAATGAGTCAGAAAGAGAGGGACAGGCATAGAATAACTCATCTGTGGACTATAGAATAACAAAATGGGAGACTAACACCCAAGAGTAGTAGAGATAAAGACCAGGAGGTTTGCTCCACGGCTTGGAAGCCGGCCTCACTGCTGGGGG